ACCTCAACTTACTCATGTGAACAAGGTCTTTTCAGTTTCATAAGTCATTATTGACCTGGGGGATTTTGGCAGAAACTAATACCTGTGGTCAGTGATTTGTTACATAAGTGATATTGACACATCACCAGTCAATAACATTTAGATAACAAAATATCTAATAACACATCTGATTTATAATGTGTTAATAGCAATAAGAATGAAAAATGTGAACTGCATTAATAGCATACCTTGCCTTGCTCTAGTACTAAGTAACCACTCACTTTTAAGGAATTAGTTGAAAAAAGCCTAATCTGAGTCATTATAGATGCATTTCTAATGTCATTTTGCCTTTTTGTTTAAGAAATGTCAACATTTCTAAAATACTCATGTAATTTTTATTGGCTCTTTCCTGTTCATGATCACAATGATCACGTCCCGGTATAGGAAAAAAATCACTACCTTCTGTTGAGAGAGGAAATAAAAATTGCATTTTAATTTATATACATATTTTATTTAATCAGTAGAAAAGCTCTCAAGCACAAGGTACACTCGTTGAGGATTAGGTCAGATTCTTGTGGTGTGGGAGAGGGGAGTAAATTCCAGAAAGAAGAGCTGTGCTCTAGAATGCTACCTCTTAAAGGGAGAACTGCTCATCCTTTTTACATGCCGGGTTCTGGACATCAATACATGCTCATCCTTTTTACATGCTGGGTTCAGGACATCAATACACTATCATGATCAGATTACTTTTATTATATTTTGTAAAATAATGAAACAGATTTAAGTAATAGTTACAATGAAGTTACATCTGTTGTAACTAGTTGAACTCATAATGGGTATTTTCAAATGTCGGTTAAAATGTCAGTGGGAATATGTGGTTCAAAATTAGTTTGGGGTGTATATGACAAACATTACTGACATACACCAGGTCAGTTTGACACCAGTAGTTCTGAAGCATGCACCGGTACTCTATTTTCCCCTTTATTCCCAATGCATAGACCAAAGGGAACTAAATCAAGATGGGTTGAGACAGGAGATGGGAGCATGTCTTGTCGGCTTGCGAAAGGGAGCCATAGGTGTCATGATGAGATGAGAAAGAGACTAGTCTTTTGTTGAGACATTTCCTTTGGGCAGATAAACCTGGTGAAACAGACTCTTGACCGATTTCTTTTCCTAATGACCAGGAAATAAGCAATATTATAAGGTACAAGATCATTCATTTAATAAAGTAATAAAAATGAATCCATTACAAAAATACCTGGAAGATATTTACATTTGGTGTTTGAAATTTTCTTGGGTGACTTTATAAAAGAAAATCTCAGTGGGACTCATGCCAAACTGAAATGATTGTTCCAACTTAAGGAATTAGTAGCCTTAGGTTGAGCTTCCCAGGTGGCACAGTGGTAACACGCCCAATGTGGGAGACATAGGAGACTCAGGTTTGATCCCTGGGTCAGAAGATCCCCTGGAAGGAAATGGCAACCCACTCCAATATTCTTGCCTGGGAAATCCCATGGACAAAGCAGCCTGGCGGGCTACAGACCATGGGGTCACAAAGAGTCTGCATACAGCTGAGGATACATGCATGCGATCTTAGGTTAGCACTTTCTGCTTTACATCCAAGCTTGAGAATTTTCCAAAGCTTGCATTTCGCTGTAATGGCATTTGAGCTATGGGATTATATAATTCAGGTGAAGGACAATGGAAGCATTAAATTTCCTGACTTGAGCTCTGTGACTATTTTTCTGGAAGATAATTTCCTTTTGAATTTGTATTTGGCATCTGCTAAAAATAAATTGTGCTTTTCTACATTTGCAGAAATCCTTCAGTAATAACTTTTTAGTTCAAAAAAGGTTTCTTTTTTTAGTTCAAGAAAAGCTCCCCCAGAAGTGGTTCACAGGAGTCTTGAGCCTTTGCAAGAGCTGATTTCTCTTCCTGACTGGAAGACCCACCCTGTGCTTCCAGCATCCTTCCATCCTCACTCTCTCCCCCGCTCACTGGTGCTTACCACACCTGCAGGCTGCAGGTGGTGTCACCCCTGTTCCTTCTCCCTCGGGCGTCTAGGCAGCTGCCCTTCTGACCCTGTGTGACCATCCCCACCACACACTGCAGGCTCCCTGAGAGCAGGTCCCCTCACCTGCCGCCCAGTGCGGGCTCCGCGTCCTGGAGCAGGCATATGGGTGAGCCCTCACTGACACCTGTCTGTCAAGTTCGAGGACAGAGAACCCTGGGCCCTGGGGAAGGTCATCCTCCAGAATTAGAGGGCTCTCTTGGGAAGAGGGGCGTGCAAGCACTCATACCCTCACAGTGAGTCTCAGTGGCTTAACACAGCCACCCTGGGTACAGACTTCTCACCTCTTGCTGACTAAGCATTTGCCATTGGCTGGATTGGGTCTGGTGATTCACAACTGTTTTCACCTCAAAGCTTCTGAGGGGTGTAAAACAAGCCCAGACAAGCATCCTCAATCTTATAACCAGATCAAAAGGGGCAGACGAAGTCCTCCCTTGCCACAAATGCCTTCTGAGTTTCCAGGGCACGTGAGTGCCTGGAAGCCTGCTCGCAGCAGGTGGCTCTGGTGTTACCCCAAGGCTGGGGGGCGGTGCTGCTGCCCCAGTGTTTCCTCAGGTAGCAGGTCTCTTGAGGTCACTTTACACTTGTGTGATGCCTGCTGGAGCAATGGGGGGCAGGGCTGGACTGAGCACTTATTCAGTCTCTGCTCTGTGCTGAGACCTCCCTGTGACCAGCCCTCCCTGGGGTCTACCTGCAGTGTCTACCTGCAGACACTCCCGGTGGTCTCACCACGTGGCACTGCCGGTCTCGGTGTTCTTGTCTGTCCCCCATAAGCTGTGAGTCACCAGAGAGCTGGCCTGTGGCCCCAAGTCCAATCAGGGGGCCCTCCCCAACCCGGCACGCACTCTGCTGTGGAGACATGCCAGGGGCGCCCTGCGGTGGGCTGGCTTCACACCTAGTCCTCATCTCAGTCCATGCCTGTGCGAGGATCACCGCATCCTCTCCTGGGAGAAACTGAGGCAGGGGGTCCAGGGACATGCCCCCAGGCAACCAGTCGACCGCCCTCCTTGGGTTTGAATCCAGGTCTCTGTAGCCGGAAACCTGCATGCTCCATCACTGTGCTCTCTTTACATCGCAGAGGAAAAGTGTTCATTTGATTGGCCTACTTGTTCAGTGACGGTGACAAAGAGGAAGCGAGAAACCAGCGTCTGCTCGGCCGTCGGGGCCGCCACTGACGGCCAGGCAAGGGAGCAGCTTTGAGTGGAGTTGGCAGGAGGGTCCGGGAGTGACAGGCCAGGTGGAGCCGCCAGCTGTGTGGAAAAAGCAGCTGGTGCACGGCATCGAGGTGTGACCGCGTCTCAGCAGAGCCCTGGCAGAAAAGGCTGCGGTGGCATTAATCTGCAGGCCGTGTTTCTCCTCTGTATTTGCCCTCTAATTAAGAGCCTTGCAACAAAAGACAGGAAGAAAGCTAAGAGAAAGAGGTTATTGTTCAGAAGCACTCGCTGCGTTCAGATACACTGCCTTGTGCATTTGCTTCTCTAAACAATTCCTCCTTTATTTCTGATCTTTATTTGTGAGCTCTTTTGTTAAATAGCTGGCAGTTTTTTATTCCCGTTCTTTTGTTTGTTTGGGGGATCTCAAAGAAAGCGACACCTCAAGGGATTTTCTCCGTGGTGTTCTTTTGATTTTCTTCATTCTCTGTCTCTTGTCTGCTGCCTGGTTAAAACGCTCACTGTCTTGAGTGTGATTACTGTGTCACTTGTCTGTCATTGTCTGAGTCTGTGGAGTTTACAGTCAGCATGTGTGTGGTCCTGATCCATTTTCGGTGTCCAACAACTTACTTACTGAAGGAATGATTTTCAAAAAACACACAGTGAAACTGCAGCACAACACAGTCATTACTTCCTGGATGACCATAAGCAGCATGTAGATCATATGTCTTGAGGTTTAAAAGCTATTCTATGTTCAGTGAAAAAACACACCTCTGGTCTGCAGCTGGGCCAGACTTGTAGACACCTGTCCTCCCACCTCAGTGTTAGGGGGCTTCCTCTCCAAGTGTGGAGCTTTCGGTGAACACTCTTAGACCACCTCACAGCTCAGTATCAGAAAAATGCATCCTCACTTAAGTTCCCCCTACTGTCCCTCATAATGGCTGGCTCCCGCATCTCAGTCAGAGTCTGAGGGAGTGGATTCAGGCCTCCGTAGTGAGTTACAACTCTGTGCATCGTATTCCTTCTGCTCCCCCACATTGCACGCTCCATGCTCGGGGGCCAGTAACTGCAACCAAGGACGCTTTTGTCCTTGTTGTTTTAAATTTTACTCGAGTGTTCTCTTCTAAGAACACCTCTTATTTAAACCAGATCTTACTGTCTCATGTGTAAAAATAAGGGGAGAGCCAGACTCTGATGAAAAGTGTCAGTAATACATTAAGCCAAATTGCGCTTGCTCCTGAGGAATATGTTAGAAGTTCCTGAACAAGATCAGTCCACTTTGAACTTTGTTTCCATATTGAAAACCTTAATTTAACAGAAAAAAAAAGTTCATGTTCAAACAATTCTGTTAAACCAGGGATCAGACTAGAAACAATTGCATTCATCATGTCATTAGTCTGAATTTTTTTCATCTGTTTACCATAGTCAGGCTTCCCTGATAGCTCAGATGGTAAAGAATCTGCCTGCAATGCAGGAGACCTGCGTTCAGTCCCTGGATTGGGAAGGTCCCCTGGAGAAGGAAATGGCAACCCACTCCAGTACTCCTGCCTGGAGAATCCCATGGACAGAGGAGCCTGGTGGGCCTCAGTCCATGGGGTCACAGAGTCAGACACGACTGAGTGACTAACACACACACTTACCTGTAGTCATGTACAGGATGAAAATCTCCAAGCTTAGTTAAAAATATGCCAATTTTTGAGGGAAAGCGTTGCTCCCGTCACAGACGCAGTTTGAGGTGAGTCAGGCCGGGGGGCGCTCGCTGGCGTGGTGGCTGACCTCCCCTTGTGTGTGTTGTCCAGCGAGCCTGTCCTCGGGGCCCGGCGATCCCTGCAGCATGGACGGCGCCCCCCCGGTGCCCCCGGAGGCCGAGGAGACCGTGTCTGTCGGCAGCTGCTTCACCTCGGAGGACGCCACGGAGGACTCAGGGGTGATGAGCTCCCCCTCGGACATCGTGTCCCTGGATTCCCAGCATGACAGCACGAAATCCAAGGACAGGTGGGGCACAGACCAGGAGGACTGCAGTGACCAGGAGCTGGCCGGGACTCCAGAGCCGGCCCCCCCGAAGAGCCCCGTGTGGGGCAGGGGCAGCTCCGAGAAGCGGCGTCTGAGGTGAGGCGCGGGCCGCTGGGAAGGGGTCCATTCCAGGCTCGCAGGACGGAGGCCTCAGTCCCGCTGAGCCAGCCAGTGCTCGGTAGGGATCCACTGCGCCAGGTGCCCTCTCAGAGGTCACCACACCCTGCCTGGGGACGTGTTGCACATGGTTCTGTCTTCATGCTATTCTCTAGCTATTCAGGTACTTATAAATAATACATAGTATCAGCCTGTTCACTTTTACCTTTCATATAAACGGTACCACAATCTGTTTCCACTCCATATCACGTGTTTGAGATTTATCCCTGATGACGTGTGTGTCACTAGTTCACTCACTTATCCACTTCGTTATGAATGGACACTTGAGTTGTTCTGGTTTTTCACCCCTGGAATCAATGAGCAAGTTATACATATGTCTCCATTTATGCATAGAGCTTTTTAGAAGAGGAATGATTAGACCTTCAGAGAAAATTCAGCTTTTTGGAATATTGGCAAATTGCTCTCCGAAATAATGGCCTGGTGACCACGCCCTCCAGCCGTCTGTGGAGCCTGCCCGTCAACAGTCACACCAGTCTGTGGGTGAGCAGGTGTCTGGAGCGCTGCACTCCTCTCGGCCCCAAGTTGCAGCTCATGTGGCTTTAAGATACACGACTCTGATTAGTAAGGATGAGCATCTTGTCATATGTATGTTAGAAATTCAGTTTCCTCTTCTATGGATTGTCTTTTCACAGCCTTTTTTTCACAAAATTTGGGGATGTTACTTTTTTCTTAATCATTAATGTCTCCTTAGTTATATATACACAGAGTCTCTAATACTGTGGCTTGAATTTAGCTTTGTTTTATTTTATTGTATAAAAATGCTCTTTGAAGAGTGTGTCCTCCTTCTGTGGAATGTATATGATATTTGGATATTGAGAGATCCTTCTCATACCGCAGAGGACTAAACATCATCAGAATGTCTTGTGAAAGCTTCAGTGTTGCTTTCTGAGCTTCGGGCTTCTTGTTCACCTGGAGTTTATTTTCAGGTGTGACGTGAAGAAGGAATCTGTTTCCCACTGATTCCCAGTTCCATGTCAGTCTCCATCAAGTCTCCACACACACATCTGTCTGATCCTTGTACACTTTCCGTAGACTGGTTAATATGTCTCTGCATCAGCACCCTGTTACAACTCCTTTCTTCATTCTGAATTAGAAAGGCAGGTTAATCCTCAGCGTCTCATCCTTCCTTTTTGTTATTGAAGTATACCATGTTAGCTTAGGTGTACAGTGATTCATTTATGTATATACACACATATGTTTGTATATATGTATATACACGCATATAATATATATGCATGTGAAAGTGAAAGTGTTAGTCACTTAATAGTGTCTGACTCTTTGTGACCCCGTGGACTGTAGCCCACCAGGCTTCTCTGTCCATGGAATTCTATACGCAAGAATACTGGAGTGGGTTGCCAGTCCCTTTTCCAGGGGATCTTCCCAAGCCAGGGATTGAACCCAGGTCTCCTGCATTCCAGGCAGATTCTTTACTGTCTGAGCCACCACGGAAGCCCATATATACATACACACACATATTGTTTTTCAGAATCTTTTCCCTTATAGGTTATTACAAAATATTGAGTAGAGTTCACTGTACTAGACAGTAAGTCCTTGTTGTTTATCTGTTTTATACATTGTAGTGTGTATATGTTAATCCCAACATCCTATTTATCCCCCCACCCCCTTTCCCCTTTTATAATCATAAATTTGTTTTCTATGTCTGTAAGTCTCTTGCTGTTTTGGAAACAAGTTCATTTGTATTTTTTTCCTTCTTTTAGATTCCACATATAAGTGATAGCATATGATACCTGTCTTTCTCTGTCTGGCTTACTTCACTTAATATGATAACCTCTTTTTTTACCTTTTAGATAATTTTAAGAACCAATCACACAAGGTTTTAGGAACATTAATAGAAGTAAAATAGGATTTTTTTTTAAGTTTAAGTTGATCACCAAAATGAGTGAGTGCCCTTATATTTTTCATGTTTTATTTCAGCTTTGTCCAGATGAACACTCAAGTCTCTGTGTGGTTAATGTAATTGTAGTGTCAAAACTCTTTTATTTTAGTTTATTTTTAGTATCAGTTTATCACAAGCATTTCCCTAGGTGGTTGTATACACACTCTAATAGTAAAGCTCTCTAATCTTAAGGACAATTCCAAGACCATATTTTATCAGACAGGAAATGAAAAGGTGGCAATTGGTCCCTTTTGCCTCTGGCCCATATTGGATACCTTGAGCTGAGATTGACCTGTTTGCAGAAGGAAATTATTTCATTTCCTTCATCATCCACTTAAATATAAAGGAGAATAGCTTTCTAGTAATCTTCAGAAATGTCTGGTTGTTTTGCATGGGGCTTGTACACCTTCAGCTTTATATCTGACACTAATCAGATATGTCACTTTGATACCCCAGGGATGCTCGTGCAAGAGTCCTGGTGGACTTCCTGGCATTAACTCAGAGGTAAAATCTTGCTGACTTCCCTTCAAATATGTTCATGTTGTCTGCTGCCACAGCCAGAATAATCACAGGGTCTTTGGAACCTGATATCTTATTCCAACAGGGAGCCGGTCATGTTTATCCATCCTCTTCTCTGGGGTGCTGCTGAATTTGAGAGTAATGTGGAGGGGAAGGAGGGGGTTCTGGACCTTCACATGCCCACATAGAATCCCACCACCACTGACTAGTTGCCTGGCCTTTGTGGGTCCACTCAACTTTGCTGAGCTTTGAATTTTGCTTATACCTGTGCAGATAACACCTTCTACCTGTCACAGGTGTGGTAGCTGCTGGGCGCCGGTGTGTATGCTCAGTGCCTGTTGCATAACCATTGAGGGAGACCCATTGACTAAATCATCACTGTAAATTTAGGAACTGGAGCACCGTGAATTTTTCATGGCACACCAACTTGCCGATTTTAGGCTTCAGAGTCAAATGAAGATGAAAACGATCTCTGAGGCCCGCTACCCTGTCTGTGCTGTTCCTTCGTTTGCTCAGAGTTGGGATCAACTCTCTGCCCATTATTTTGCATAGAATGCCTGTGTTTTTTCTTTTTTAAAAACAAGAGTTATCACCATTGACACATTAGATGTACTCGGAGACTTCAGCAGGGTGTATCACATTTTTCTGTCCAAATGCATGACTTTATTTATTGATGTCAAGATTACTTAAAATCTGTGGCCACCATATTAAGCAGGAGTTACAGACTCAGAGGTCACAGGCTGCAGGGAAAAGCACAAGTTTTCTCTAAAGAGTGCAAGCCCATGGCTTCCTTCCAGTTGTTACCTTGAGAGATTGTAGAGCTACTGTGGCTGGCTTTGGAAGAGAAGCCATAAATCTAGATTTTTTCTATGAGCTCTCCCAAATTTTAAATCTTGGCAACCAGTTCAAAGATTCAGGGCCACACACACACACACACACATCTGTGTGCTGGGCGGGCAGGTCCCAGATGTGGGCTTCACTGAGTGCTCGGCACTTCAGCATGTCTGGCTATGCTCACTCATCTATCAGCTGCAGAGTCACTGTGATGATCTGGATATCTCCTGGGATCTACCTCTTGAAAAATAATTCTTCAGAACAAATTTTAGAACTTCTGTATTCTCCTCTTGGAAGACAAGAATATAAAGTCTCTCACAGATTCTGCAGCAAAGCAGCCTGTCTGAATTCTACCTCTGCTCAGCCTCTGATGTCTTATAGAATGAGTTCCGCTGAGCACCATTTGGGAGATGCTGCCCATATCAGCCTTTACACTGTCGTGCAGCATTTACACATATGCACCCCAGATAGAGAGGATGGAGAAGGGATACACTGCTCCTCATAAACAGTGCCTCCAGGCATGTGCTGTTTGGTCCTGTCCACAGAACAGGGCATTGAGAGCCTGGCCAGTGAAAAGGCACTGCAGGCTGACGGCGGAGGGTTGGCCAGACTGCAGGGGCTGACCAGTCCTGGGCAGAGAGCATGTCAGGAGCGTGTGTGTGATTCACAATGGAGTAGATGACTTCAGGTGTCCAGACTAGCCAGGGGTCAAGTTCACTGAGAAGAGAGCCTATGCTTGGGGGTTGACAGCGCAGAATCAAGGTGAAATAGTCTGAGGGCAGAGCCCACTGCTGTTCACAGAGGGGTGGTCTTGACCTTGCCCACCTAGAAAGGGCCCTGTGTTGGAGCTCTGCCCAGGAGCACATGTGTTGAAGGATTGAGAGATGCAGTAATAACAAAGAACATGATTTCTGACACTTGTGCTCCCAGGAGAAGATGGACAGGGCGACAGGACAGACATGTATTTGCTCAACCTGCCAGCTCCTCCCTTCCTGAGCTGGATGCCCCTGGACCACCTTGAGAAAGGACGGCCACTTGAAGGGGATGGTACTCTGATCTCAGTGCCTACTGCCACTCCCTGAATCCACCTCCTGGCTCTACCCTGCATGATTCTAGCACCTGGTTATTACAGCTCATCCTAAGGCGGCATTTGTGTTTCTGGGGACATGTTCTTCCTGCGATGATCTAGAGCCTGGCTGTGATAGTGAGGCCTCTCGATCCTTGGAGCACCAGACCTCATAGGCTCAGGAAACAGAAGTTACCCTTTGCTGTGACAGGCACAGCTGAGTCTCTCCAGGTGGGATGTGGGTTCTGATGGGTGGTGAAGCCATCCCCACCAGACTGAAGCACCCCAGCTTATAGAATCTCTGGTGTGGGACCTGTCCCCAAGGGGAAATAAGGAGTGTTTCTGGTTTTCAACTTTGCCAGGGTGCCCTTCAATACTGTCACCCCTCTGATAGACAGCAATTCATTGAGTATTGGAAGGAATAGGGGAATGTCCTTTGTGACCTGCAAAGACCCCAGTTTGTTAAGGTCTATAAGGTTCTAGTTTACTGGGCTGTTTCTCCTCTCTCTGCTGTCTGCTTTCTGCAGACAGCCAAGTCACCCAGACTTTTTTGGCTAGGGGTCGCACTTTGACAAATTGGAGACAAAGACTATTTGCTCCAGA